CCGACTCCTCAGGCTTCAGTCTTTCTCTTGGTTACAATAATGGCCTCTCAGAGCAGTGGCTTTTTGTTTTTATTGGGGTGAAAACATTCACGAGAAAACACATGGCCAAGTCATAACATGCGACACAAAAACATTGCTCTACACACTACTCTGGTGAGTAGTGACTGGGGTCTGAAAAGCTTGCAAGCGGCCATCTAGATGCAACGAGTCTGTCCTCGTCTGGGACAAAGAAAAATGAAGAGAACCAAAGATTCATAGAAACAATTAGTCCAAGCGACTGGCTTACCATGTGATCCTCAGCCTATACGACTATGAGACCAGAACTAGATGGTGCCCAGCTACCAGTGTCAACCACTCGGAGGGGGATAGACGCAGGAGGTCCTGGGTAGAGACGGGGAACAATGTGGAACGAAACTCCAAATCAAAAAATAAAGAGCAGGCTTACTGGTCTGATAGAGCCTGGTGAGACCCCCAAGACTATGGCCCCTAGTGACCCTTCAGGTCTGGAATTGAACTCACTCCCATGGCTTCCAGGCAAACCACAGCCCAACATGCGGGGTGAACATTTACATCAGACAGACACACTCCTCGGAGCAGTCAATCGTGGGAGAACAGAAGGGCAGCGTTTGCACAGGGAGCCACTCGGGGGGCAGGAGTGCAAAGGAAAGGGGGACGCAGGGAAGAGGGGACCGCAGGGAGGAAGCGGGACGAGAGCCATTGCCTCGTGGGGAATCGCAGTCAGTGTTATGAGACAAAACGCGTATCAACTGCTGTCTGGAAAATAAATTTGCTCTGTCAGCTTCCACCCAAATCACAATAAACACTGAAGGAAGAAAGGAAACCCAGCCACGCCAACCATTTCTGCACCTAACTTCAGGGCCACTGGTGCCGTCCTACGAGACGTGCAACCCTCCGCACCTTTCCTTCCCCATCATTCCACCACCAAGACCATCAGCTCCGTGCCCTGAAGCAGAAACTCCCCTCGCCCTCGCTCCTGCCCCTGGAAACCAGTGGTAGGGTAGCATTTGATAGATGTGCTTACTTTACTGAGAGCTGCTGCGGTTCTCTAGTGCAGCTCTACAGAAAGACCACTGGTGGACGGCTTTGACAAACAGGACTTTATTCTGTCACAGTTTAGGAGGCTAGCAATCCAAGTTCAGAGGGCCAGCAGCTCTAGGGGCCGGGTGAAAGCCCCTCGACCTTGGGGTCCAGCTCTGCATCCTGCTCCCGGCCACTGGGGCTGCAGGCGTCTCTCCACTCAGGCAGCTGCTGGCTGCTGAGGCTGACAAGCCCAAGGTCGACAAGTGAAAAGGCACAGTCCCAAAATAATCAAGCAACACAGCAGGCCACTGGTTCAAGTACAGAGACAGTCTCAAGACCGGCAGACAGTACGGCAGGCCACTGAGATGAAGACGCAGCCAAAGGCAAGATCCAGATGTGCCTAAAAGCTCAGAAACCTTGCTCAAAACGTGGTCTTCTACACGGGAAGCAGGCCACATCCCCAAGGCAGCCACTCCGCTGCCCCAGTAGACGCCACCCGGGAGCCAAGGCCAGTCTCACCCTGGCAATGATTCACGTGCCCAGCCACCCAGAACCGGCCCAGACGTGTCGACACACAGCCGTACCCACCACGGGGAGATGGTGCAGTACTTGTCCTTTGGTGGCCATCAGAACCTTGCCTTTTCAGTCTGCCAGGTGCCGAAACTGTCGTTCCTGTTTGCTCTGACACAGCTGTGCTTCAGAAACGATCGCCTGACACCGGGTCAGCGTCTGGTGCCCACCCAAGGGCAGGTCTGTGAGGAGAGGCCCTCAAACAGCCTGGTGTTTCCTCGGCTTGTCAACCATTGGGTTAACGCAGGAACCAGCCCCTCCACCTCCCAGCACCCGCTCCAGAGAGGAAAACACACATCCACCAAATGTGCACGTCATGGCGCTAATCATGACCGAATGTGCCAGCGACACAAACGTCCATCAGCGGATGACGGGATGAACTAAGCGGTCCGGCTGTACAACGGCTGTTCTTTGGCAATAAACAGGAATGGCATACTGGCTTCTTTTGGGGGGTGGTCAGTCAGTCCACATGTCAGGGCGAGCCCTGGGACTTCCCAGAACGTTAGGGGGACTTGCACCTGGGGAGGAACCAGCTGGGGCCACCTGGCGTCTTACCTGAGCAGGTGGGACACCGGCGGTGTGATGAGCACCACCAGCCTCCTGGTCGCGCCGTGGCTCCGCAGGGACTGTCCCAGGACCAGCGCCCCCTGGCAGCAGACGTCATTGGTGGCCAGGGTCACAAAGGCCTGGTCGGCCACTGTGGGGTGGGAGAAACACCAAGCTTACGGTCCCGCAGGTGCTCACGAGGCGCAGGGGTGACACTCATGCCCCTCCACCCTCAAGCCTCCTGACTGCTCAACCAAGTCAGCGCTCCGCAGTCCGCACGAGTTCACTGGTGACGCTTCCCATGCACCATGTGACTTTATAAAACACGGAGAGTGGCAGCAAATGTGAAAACAGGAGGGAAGGTCAACTGAGTCTGAGAGATGTTCCTACAACACACCACAGCAGCACGATACAACAAAACTACAACACAATAATGCAACACAACACCATGCTGCAATACAGTACTACAACACACACACTACAACACTGCAACACAACACCAGGATAGAACACAATGCAACAACACAACACAGTAATACAACCCAATACTGTAACACAACACCATGTTGCAATACAACACTACACACAACACACTACAACACAACACAACAACACAACCCTGCAACACAACACTACAGAACACAACACTGCAACGCAACACAACACTACCACATAATACTGCAACAACACCATGCTTCAACACAACACTGCAACACAACATTACAACAGCTCACAATGCAACAGCACCAATAGTACAACCCAATACTGTAACACAACACCATGCTGCAATACATCACAACAACACAACACACTGCAACACAACACTACAACATTATAGAACACAGTACTGTAACACAGCACAGTGCATTACAACATGACACTACAGTACAGCACTACAGTGCAATACAATGCAATACTACAACACTACAGTCTAGTACTACAGTATAATAAACACTTTAACACACTACAACGCAACACTATAATACAGCACACTCCAGTAAAACAGTGCAACACAATACTGCAACACACTGTAACAGTAGAACACACAATACTGTGATACAATAACACACGACAACACACCTCCCCTTACATCTATATAAGTAGGGACGAGACCTATTTAAAGGATAAAATGTTACACCCATGTGTTTTATGTACGTATTTAAAAAAAGAACGCGGTGCCTACAAGTGCGTCCAGGAAAACTGTGCTCCATACGGTTTTCAGTGGCTGCTATCTGGGAAACACATCGCCAGGCCTTTGCTCCGAGGCAGCTCTGGGGAGACGTGAGCCGCTCATCTCCCAGTTAGCAGCAGACACCCTAATCCTTTGT